TGGGCCTGGGCGCTGTCCCTCAGCTCTTCAGCTCAAGGCGAGCGCTCTACCACTTGAGCCACAGCGCTACTTCCGGTTTTCTAGTGGTTTATTGGAGATAGGAGTCTCACGGTCTTTCCTGTCCAGGCTGGCTTTGAACCGAGATTCTCAGATCTCAACCTCCTGAGTAGCTAGGATTACAGGCGTGAGCCACCGGCGCCCGGCTTCTACAGTCTTTTTTATAGCAACATCTTCTACACTCCCTTAATTCTCTACTGCTTCTTGCCCCTTTGAAACATGAATAGAATCATTATCTGATTTCAACTTCTATTTATGCATATCCGCTAATAAAATACATTTTTTATGCTGTTAATGGAACTTGAACTTGGGGCCTGGATGCTGTCCCTTGGCTTTTTTTTTCCTCAAGGCTCATGTTCTACCACTTAAGCCACAGCTACATTTCCTGCTTTTTAAATGGTTAATTGGAGATACGAGTCTCACAGACTTTCCTGCCTGGGCTCGCTCCATGATCCTCAGATCTCAGCCTCTTGAGTAGCCAGGATTACAAGTGTGGGCTATGACTTATTCTTTAATAACTGTTCTGAGCTCAAAGTTACTGCTTTCTGATATTAATGGAAGATGATTGAACATTTCAGCCATGTAATTTTCCCATATGGCAAAATATTAAGCATTGACTTAAAATCTAGGCTTATTCTTGCTAAAAATAAAAAGGTTAAGGATACTTTTGTTAGGAATGAGTAGTATCAAAGATTATTTCCAATGTTAAAGTGTATATTCAATAATTTATAGGTTCAAAGAAAATATTAGCATCTCTGAAATTCTCACTAAGGCAGAAAAAACACCTCTGTCCTTGTTATTTGTAGGAGCCTTTTCTGTTGTTGTTTGGAGTTCAGAAGGGCTGCTGGGATGGAAAGCCTCCAGGCTGATGTAGAAATGCTCTTTGCTGAGAAGATTGTTTCAGTGGGCAGAGTCACTTTTGGAGAAGAGAATAGGAAGATGATGACCAATAGCTGTTTGAAGAGAAATGAGAATCTGAAGATCATCAAGGCTATCTGTGCACTGCTAAATTCTGGAGGGGGCGTGATTAAGGCAGAGATTGATGATAGAACCTACAATTATCGATCCCATGGGCTGGGACAGGATTTAGAAACTTCCTTTCAGAAGCTCCTGCCTTCGGGCTCACAGAAGTGCCTTGACTATACACAGCAGGGAGACCTTCTCCTGATTTTTGTGAAGGCATGGAACCCAGATGTTTGCAGCCTCCCAGTGAAGATTTGTAGCTTGCACTCCAATTTATATCGGAGAGATGTGACCTCTGCTATCAACCTGAGCGCGAGCAATGCCCTGGAACTTCTTAGAGAGAAGGCATCTAGAGCCCAAAGAGGCACACGGGACTTGCATACTCCTCAGAGAACCCTAAAAAGATATATTCAAGAAGAGGAAGATATGAAGGTGGCGGCCTCAGAATTCTTTGAAAGGGATAGACTTAGATATAAAGAGAAGCTCAACTTTACTGAGTCAACACACGTCGAGTTTAAAAGGTTCACCAGCAAGAAGATTGTCCCTCGGATTAAAGAAAGGCTACTTCACTATGTTTCTGCATTTGCCAACACTCTTGGGGGATACCTAATTATTGGGGTTGATGACAAGAGCAAAGAAGTGTTTGGATGTAAGAAAGAAAAAGTGAATCCTGACTTATTGAAAAATGAAATTGAAAACTACATAGAAAAGTTGCCTACATATCATTTCTGCCAGAAGAAACCCAAGGTCAAGTTCACTACCAAAATCATAAATGTCTACCAAAGAGATGCCCTGTATGGTTATGTCTGTGTGGTTCGAGTAGAGCCCTTCTGCTGTGTGGTGTTTGCAGAGGATCCGGATTCCTGGATCTTGATGGAAAATTCTGTCACAAGGCTGACAGCTGAGCACTGGGTGGTCATGATGCTGGATGCTCAGTCAGGTAAAAAGGAAGAGAGAATCATTGTCCCTTCCATAGGAAGGATCCCTTTCCTCTACTCTTGTGGTATTCAGTCATATATTTATCTTAAATAATATTTAACTTTTACTAAAATTGTTTATGTTTTCAAATGTTCTCCCATGACAGAATTTTTCCATATATATATATATATATTTATTTATTTAAATTTTTCTTGTCAGTTGTGGAGCTTGAAATCAAAGCCTGGGCGCTGTCTCTGAGCTCTTTTTCTTCAAGGCTAGGACTCTACCACTTTGAGCCAGAGCTCCATTTCTGGTTTTCTGGTGGTTAATTAGAGCTAAGAATATCATGGGCTGGGGCTGGGAAGGTGGCTCAGTGGTAGAGCGCTTGCCTTGCATGCATGAGGCCCTGGGTTGGATTCCTCAGCACCACATAAACAAAAAGAAAAAAGCCGGAAGTGGCACTGTGGCTCAAGTGGTAGAGTGCTAGCCTTGAGTTGAATAGCTGAGGGACAGTGCCCAGGCCCAGAGTTTAGGCCCCATGACCGGACCCCCCCCCCAAAAAAAAAAAGGAATATCATGGGCTTTTCTTCCTGGGCTGGCTTTGAACTAATATTCTCAGATCTCAGCCTTCTGAATAATTAGGAAATTAGGAGCCACCAGCACCTGGCTCCCCTAATATTTTTTAGTCCCAAATTTAATTGTAATATTCTTTAGTTTTAAAAAATATCCTTTAGTTTCTACTGTTCTTTGTTTATGACCTCTGTGTGTGTGTGTGTGTGTCTGTGTGTGTGTGTGTGTCTGTGTCTGTGTCTGTGTATCTATGTGTTGGTAAATAGGGCATGAACTCCTGGCATGGGTGCTATACCTTAGTTTTTATGCTCAAGGCTGTCACTCTACCACTTGAGCCACACCCCCACTTTCAGCTTTTTGCTGTTCAATGGGAGATATGAGTCACATGGACTTTCCAGCCTGGCTGGCTTTGGACCTTGATGTTCAGATCTCACCCCCTAAATAGCTAGGATTGCAGGCATGAGCCACTGACTTCTGGCGAGAATTTGATCTCTTTGGGGTCAAGCAATGCATGAATTTCAGTCTATATTGGGAGAATTATAGCATACTATCTGCTATGAATTAGTGAAATTTCCTTTTTATGCACAGTAAAGGTTGGTCAAAAAATTGCAGGGTAATTTTCCTAAATAGAAACAATCTCGCTCATTTTCAGAGAAACACTGTTTAAGAATGACTCTGCTCGGGCTGGGAAGATGGCTCAGTGGTAGAGTGCCTGCCTTGCATGCCTGAGGCCCTGGGTTCGATTCCTCAGCACCATATAAGCAAAAAGAAAAAAGCCGGAAGTGGCGCTGTGGCTCAAGTGGTAGAGCTCTAGCCTTGAGCTGAAGAGCTGAGGGACAGCGCCCAG